GGCGCAGGTCCCTGGCACGGCGGCGCCTAGTATACTGGCGCCCCCACATGACATCTCCCCCTTCCTCGAGAGGCAGATCGTCCTCGATCTGAAAGTCTGGGTACTTGACGGCGAACGTCTCAGCATCTTCCCATGTCGCTGAAGCTGGAGAAGTATCCTTCCACTGGATCAGCACCTGCCGGACACCACGCGCTAAACGCATCTTCACTGCCTTGGCCGGCTCTGGAGTGACAGCCCCATGGTGGACTGGTGGAAGCGGTGGTGGGGCAGCTGGCGGTGGCCCCTGGAACTTCTTCAGAAGGCCTATGTGAAACACATCATGCAGCCTGGCGCGTGCTGGCAGCTCAAGCCGGACAGCAACCTCATTGATGATCTCGGCGACGCGATAGGGACCATAGTACTTGGGCTTCAGCTTGCCGGTAGTGGTCTGAGGAAGAGATGCCGCTGCACGATGTCGGAGGCGGAGCAGCGCCCAATCTCCCACCTCGTAGGTGACCTGCCGATGCAGCCGGTCATAGAAGCGTTTCTGATGCTTCTGTGCTTGCTCTAGTCGGGCCCGAATATCTGCCAGGAACTCGTCCCGCTCCTCCATAGTCTTGGCTACTGCTGCCACCCGCGTGTCACCTTGTTCATATGATCTGATGGTCGGGGGATCCCGCCCATAGACAACTCGGAACGGTGTGTCCCGTAGAGAAGTCTGGTAGGCGGTGTTGAAGATGTACTCCGCCCATGGAAGCCACTGTAGCCATTGACGCGGCCGATCCCCTGTGAGGCAGCGAAGGTACATGACAATCACCCGATTTGCCGACTCCGATTGCCCATCCGACTGAGGGTGGAAGGCCGATGTCATGTGTAGCTTGGTGCCAACCAACCGCATCAACTCCTGCCAGAAGTTGGAGGTGAACACCGAGTCGCGGTCCGACACGATGGACTGCGGCACGCCGTGGAGACGAACAATGTCGGTGAAGAAAGCTTGTGCAACGGACTCCGCCGAGTAGGGGTGTGCCAGGGGAATGAAGTGGCTGTATTTGCTGAACCGGTCCACCACTGTCAAGATAACAGACTTTCCTCGCACGCGCGGAAGCGCTTCGACGAAGTCCATGGCGATATCTGTCCACACTCCTTGCGGAACAGACAGTGGCATCAGAAGGCCTGCGGGATGCAGGTGCTCTGATTTATAGCGCTGGCAGGTTGAACACGCCCTGACCATGTCCTGCACAAGCTGTTTGAGGTTAGGAGAATGAAAGTCGCGTCGCAGCCTGTGTAGCGTACGCTGGACGCCTTCGTGTCCATCGTCGTGGATGGCCGCCATGATCTCCAGTAGTAGGGGTGAAGCCGAGGGCAGATACAGCCGCCCGCTGTACAGCACCATGCCGTCCTTGATGGCCCATGGCGCCCCCTTGGTGCCGGCGTTGATCTCCCCATGGAGTGCAACCAAGGCGGGATCATTGAGCTGGGCGCTGCGCAAGCGGTCGACGAAGTCGAAGCGTGGGGCTGAGAGAGCCAAAACAGCCCCTTCCTCCGGCGTGTCGCGGCGGGACAAGGCGTCCGCCACGGCGTTGGCATGCCCCGGCTTGTACTCGACGGAGAAATCAAAGCCGAGAAGCTTTCCCACCCAGTGGTGCTGTGGGATGGTCGCAAGCCTCTGATCCAGCAGGTACTTGAGGCTGTAATGATCGGTCTTGACTGCGAATCGGCGGCCCCACAGGTATGGTCTCCAGTGCCGGACAGCGTGGACGAGACCGATGAGTTCGCGCTCATATGCAGCGAGGGCGCGATGGCGAGGAGTGACGGGCCGGCTGAAGTATGCGACCGGGTGGCTGTCCTGGACCAGCACCGCCCCGAACCCATGTGATGATGCATCACACTCGACGACGAACGGCTTGGTGAAGTCGGGCATGGCGAGGATCGGAGCCGTTGTGACCGCCGTCTTGAGCTCGATGAAGGCTGCTGCCGCCTCCTCGGTCCAGGAGAAGCCATCCTTCTTTAGGAGGGCTGTAAGCGGTGCGGCGATGGAGCCGTAGCCATGTACAAACTTGCGGTAGTAGCCCGCCAAACCGAGGAAGCCGCGAATCGCCCGGGCCGAGCGAGGTACCGGCCAATCGTGAATGGCCTGGACCTTGGCCGGATCCATGGCAACTCCAGCTTCCGAGATGACATGGCCCAAGTATGACACCGAGGAGACCCCGAATGCAAACTTGGACCGCTTGACGAAAAGGATGTGGCGGCGCAGGTCGGAGAGGACGGCGCGGAGATGGCGAAGATGATCCGCCCATGACTTGCTGTAGATCAGTATATCATCAAAGAAAACAAGTACAAACCGCCGTAGGAATGGTCGGAGCACATCGTTCATGAGCGCCTGGAAAGTCGCCGGGGCGTTGCACAGCCCAAACGGCATGACCAGGAACTCGTAGAGGCCGTCATGGGTGCGAAACGCTGTCTTGTGGATGTCCTCGCGCCGCATACGCACCTGATGGTACCCGGAGCGTAGATCAAGCTTGGTGAAGAACCGGGCACCATGGAGTTCGTCGAGCAGCTCATCGACGACTGGGATCGGGAAGGCGTCCTTGACTGTGAGCGCGTTCAACGCGCGGTAGTCGACGCAGAACCTCCACGACCCATCCGGCTTCTTTACGAGGATGACCGGGGAGGAGAAAGCGGAGTCGCTGCGGCGAACAATCCCCTGCTGGATCATGGCTGCACATTGGCGCTCGAGTTCGTCTTTGTGCGCCGCCGGGTACCTGTATGGTCGGACCGCCACAGGAAGAGAGCCAGGCTTGAGGACGATGCAGTGATCCCTGCCGCGTGTTGGTGGGAGGCCGCTCGGCTCTTCGAAGACGTCGGAGAAAGCGCCGAGGAGCCCGTCGAGCAGGGGGCTGTCTGCCACCGCCGTCAGTACGCGGGGTGCGGATAGAGGCGGCACTCCCTGCCAGCGAACAGCCCGGCCTGCATGGTGGAACGCCATAGTTCGAGCAGCCAAGTCCCAGATGATGGGTCCTAGCATGGCCATCCAGTTCGTGCCCAGCACGACATCGTAGCCCGCCAAGGGCATGACGAAGAGGTCGACGGTGAAGGTGATGCCGTGGATGACGACCGGGGCCTGGCGGAGCACCCCCGGACATGCGACGCGTTCTCCGTTGGCCACCATCGCGGTGAGCCGTGGCCGTGAGTCCACTGGCAGGCCGGTGTTGCGCGCTGCAGCCTCGCCGATGAAGCTGTGAGTCGACCCGGAGTCGACGAGGGCGATGAAGGATGTCGCAGCCAGCGATACCGGGAGCTGGATCGTGGTGCTGACCGGTACACCCGCAACAGCATGCAGGGAGAAGACCGGCGCCTCCGCATCCGGTGCAACAGCGGCTGCGTCGTCGGCGAGCTCAAATCCGTCGATGTAGAAAAGGCGGCGGCAGACCCTGTTGTGCCCCCGCGAGTACCTTTCGTTACAGTTGTAACAGAGGCCCAAACGGCGCCGCTCGGCCTGCTCCTCCGGGGTAAGGCGGCGCGCTGGGTTGCCGGTCG